TCAGGCACACTATTTTGACCATTCACAAAATCACTGATGCCATGGAAGGAATAATTGGCTAATTTCATTAATTTCTACCACAAATGGCTTTACCATGAAAATGCATATGATTTTTGTAATTGACATTCAAATAACCACAGTCAGCCACTTTTCAGACAAACCATTAATTTGATATCACATCATGTACCCGCTGTATTCTTACAGTAAGGTCGTACCTTGAGAAAGAGGTATGATCTTCGTACTCGGCATAGTCGATTACCCCTCTAGATAGCGTTTTTGTGGATCCTGGGTTCCTCACAAGCAGAATTAAGCAGTGAGCTTTTTTTCTAATACAACACCCATAATCTTTGGACAAATCAGGCACACTATTTTGTTGAGGCATTCACCAAATCATTGTCTCTTAGAACGTTTCTGACTCAAAAACGGCACCTAATTATCCCACCACCCAATATATGGTGCTAGTACACATGAAAAAATCAGCAGTATTTGCACTGAGATGTCTGCTGGTAGTGCATGTAACACTCATATCCGAGTGTAAATGAGTTAAAATTATCATGCAAATATGTACCTGAGATCTGCCGAATAAACCACTTTAACTACTTTCTTTAAAAAAATTTCCTAGAAAGTTTTCCTAACGAGTTCTTATCGATTAAACAGTGTATCTTTTAGTGACATATTAAGTTTGCTAAGAGCATCGATAATGTAATAGGGGCATTTTTGCTAACCTGATCAAAAATCACATCTGATTTTCAATACCTCAGTGTCTACACACCTCAATTCAGTCGTTAAAGAAAAATAGGCAAAGTTGCAGCTTCTTGGCTCCAAATGGAATAAGGTGTTTTTATTTGAAGTTCTCTCCTAATTGAAATTTCATCAATGTCTGTATCGCTTTTCTTGCACTGCGCAACTCCTTCGCTCTTGTTTTTTTTTACTAATGAAAGGCTGCTAATAGTTAGATTGTTACTGATATCCAAACCGGTTTTATAAAATTAGTACACTTGCGTGACTGTCTTGCGCCTATCAGAAATGCTAAGCGTGACGCATGCATTCTTGTTGGAATATTATGCACTAAACATATACTTAGTTAACGTCAGGTAAAGGCTCTGCAGCATTTTCTGCACTTTTTTTCTAATTCTACCTCCCTTCGTCAGAAACAACCTGATATTGGGCCGTACGACACAAGAGCAGCGCAACGTTCTTCCATTCATTTTTGATGATATCTTTCTGTCTCTTCGTCCATATTTACGATGTGAGCGATGCTGCGTCATTTTTCTTTATATTATCCCTAATAATATACAAATTCTACGAGTCTTTGTCACCATTGTTAGCTTCCCAGAACTGACAGATTACAAGCACAGCAAGACACCTTTTTGTGGTAATTTCTGGTACCATTCTTGGATTGTAATGTTTGGCTGTATGGGCAATAGCGATTCTAGTCTATAAAGGCTCAGAGGTGTAATTCTTATTTTTGAGTTTCGTGCTTTGTGCACTGCAACTGGCTTCCCTTGTAGTATGATGCCCTCTACTAAATCATATTCAATGGGTCTTATCGTTTACATTAACGATAGATGTCCTTGGCTTTCTTGTAATAAGCATACGAGATTCTCATTTTTACATGGTAACTTTTTATGCATTTGCGAATAGTTGTTGTTATTAGAAGGCGCGCTCATTTTGCGCTCCTGTCTTATGTGTCCTACGTATCTCACAAATTTGACTAAAATATTAGCTAACATAGTGACTCACAGTTTCCGCTAGGGCGTAACTCAAGTAACTCTTTTCGTATGTCTAGCCTAAGGAGCGACATTCCACAAAGCGAAAACCTGGGTACCGTGTTGGGCAGCAGGAATGAATGCTGAAGACGATGACTTATTGTATGTTGTGCAAGCAGACATTTAGTCAAGTATATTTCGGAGATAGGCTTATTGATGTAAAATCCAACAGGGTAGATACTGCTGAGCTTCTTGGAACTTAGTTCTCATTTTGTCGCCATCGTACAAAGTATCTCAATGACTGCCTTCTTTCTTTTTAATATTCCTGCTGTTCTGATGTGATTTCTCCTCGATTGTTCCAGGAGGAAACACTAGAGGAGGTTCTTTTTGGCAATGCCAGTTCCAGTCCAGAACCTATATCTGAAGTAACACCCACTTTCGTATCGGTTCCCGCTTTAGTCGAGGAGCTCGAGCATTTGAAGAAGAATCTCCAGCATGCCCAGGAATTGTTATGTGAAACTGAGGCAACAAATGCTACACTTGTGGATCAGGTCGGATTATATTTTTGTAAAGTACGAAAGCTATGACGTAAGCCTCATGTTTCCTCTGCCCTCATCTTTGTTAGATTTATCGCATGCATTTCTTATGAAATAGTGCGAACCGCGCTGTTTGTGTAGCTTGCTCTGTTGTATCGTTGTGGTGAGCGCTAGTGCCAAGCGCGCAAAAACTTATCGTATATTTTATCTTGGGGAACTTTTTGCTAAGATTTTGCGAGTCAGAGAAGATTTTTTTCATTTTCTTGGTACTTTTTAAGAGGATAGAGCAAAGCTATATTTCAATTTTAGAGCCGTTTACTGAAAGAGGAGATCCGCCGTCTTCAAAGAAACGAACAACGTCTTAATCACGTTGAGAACACCGAGTATCTGAAGAATATTATAATCAAGGTAGAAAAATTTAGTTGTTTTTATATAACTGTACACGCTCAAAAAGGCCTCATTACCTACGAAGATTGGCACTTCCCTGCTCAAGAGGGCATGAGAACGTACGGTTTAATGAACCACTTACTTCCTTTTATCAGTGGTTTGAAGCAGGTGATAAATAGGTGACGACGTTTTTAATGCTTTCGCCACTATTTTAGTTCCTGAGTCCAGAGCGCGTCTCCGGCGAGCGCCAGCAACTGATTCCGATTCTCAGTACAATGCTGCAGTTGTCTCCCGAAGAGATCGAAAGTCTCAATCGCGCCGCTGCTCAAGATGGTTGGTGTTGTTCTGTATCGCAAGA